CTGTTGGAGTTTTGCCAGTAGTTCCTTAAGTGGAAAGGAAGAAAAGAGGACTCCAAATCACACACTCAGAGGACTGTAGCATCAAAATTAATTAGCATTGTGAGTTACTCAGATGAGGAATCTATGCCTTAAGCTGGGGGAAGAAAGGACTTTAATAGAGAAGCTTTCCCATTCCTTTTAGATCTATCCAATTCAGTGAGACAACTTGGAACTGAGGAAATAAATCTTCCATGAATTTTCATCAAGAACATCAGGAAGTCAGCTACTCCATGACCTGTTCTTTGCAGGACCAACAATACTCTAGTAGTCATTCAGAAGGATTATGGAAAATCCATTCTATATAAAATAATTACGCATTGAGAGATCAGGGTTGTTACCAACGTCATAGACTTCACCACTGATGACATTTATGATGCAAAGTGTCCACTAATCAGATGGATTCAAGAAGTTAGGTATCCTAGATCACCACTTTTTTTTGAAATTATGACAAGTCTTACTAACCTTTGCTCAAAGGAACACCTGCTGTCCCCAGCAGGGTTCTCAGTGCTTTTGGACAGAAACTGTGAATGAAGCTAACTTACCATGCACTTCAATCAGATTTTCAAAAAGAATCCACTACATTAATCTCAATTTTAGAGAAATCTAGTTTTACAAATGGGATGCTGGATTATTAAAGCTTCTAGATTAATGAGATTTGAATTAGGAAATTTTGCAACAATTAAATGCCCAGTCCATGCATATCATAATATGATATAACCTTGCAGAAGCAATATGCCATTCACTATCCTTTCTTTCTTTACTCATTAAACAAGTAGATTTTTTTGAATCTTGACTCAGAAGCAATAAGTGCAATTTTTTAGTCTGCAATGCCAGTTTCCCTGGTAAAGGGCTAGAATCTCCTAATTTAGATGTACAAAAGCCTAGGAGAGCTGGAAAAAAAAATCTTTCCTTCAGATTCAGTAAAATCAGAGCTTCCTATTGCTCTCTGAATATTTTATAGACTCATCTGGGTTTTGCTGAATCTTAGCAGAAGTAACATAGTAAGAAATAAACATTAAGAGGTTGCTCTGTCTTTATGTCTTTTACAAATACTCCTCCACTTCTAAGATGAATCACTTGCACGCATGCTTAGAAAGCCTTAAGGAGTCTTAAGTTTGTGTAGAACAGTACAGGACAGATCAAAACAACGGAAGTTTTCTTCAGGTTAGACATGTGCTTCTCAGAATTATATTCATTTGGTTCAGATATAGCTAAAATTTATGGGAGAAAATAATAGACTCCTAAAAATAAAATTTCCAAAGATATGGCTAATATCTGGTTAAATAACTATTAATCAGAACAAAAAATGAGAGCATAAAAATCATATCTATAGTTAATAAATTTTTTGTAAGTTGCAGTAAGTAAGGAAATTTGAAATTTCTTGTCTCAGGGTCTTAGTAAGCTACATCCTTACACAAACTGGGGAAAAAAGTATCCTATGATTCATTAACACAGTAACCATAAGATTTATATTAAATTGCTCAGTTGCAAATAATGGACAACAACTTTTGTAATACATTTTGAAACAGTCTGCTCAGACTCTTTTTCCCCCCATAGAAATTTCCTTGAAATTCACATTACTGTTCAAATAGGAAAAAGATGCCATTGAAATCATAAACAAATAGAAAACTAGTTTTGAGTTTTAGAAAATTCTGGGACTGCAGAAGAAACAGTCTGATAAGCTGGAGTATCTGACCAAGCTCTGACTCAGTCAACTCAGGTATCTCCGCAGTGTGGTAGAGCTGAATTCATGGAGTGTTCTTCCCTAATTAAGTAGCCAGGCTAAGAATAAGAATATATTGGATGTGACTAAGACATCTGTATTACTGTACTATATTGCTGTATTAACCTGCATATTGAATCTAGCTTCACAGACCCTGAGCTGTAGGGACAAACACACATCCATACAAAGCTTTTTCTCAGCATTAGACACGAAGTCACCAGCAAATCCTCAGCAAAGATTAACAATTTTTTTTTTTTTAATTTATTGAGGTACACAGAAGAATAATATTAGGAAAATGTGTCACTTTTCCTGTTTTAGCCTGGACATATAGAGTTTCAGTCTCTATTGCTGTCGATATTTAACATATTCTAGGAATTATATTTTAAAAAATAAAATTGATGATTTATTCTCAAGATAGTATTAGGGATCAGTTATTGATCTACTCTGATTTCTTGACTCTTATGCCTACACTTTCCTTATGTATTCCCATCATTCACATTCATTTTTTTTTTTTTTGCTCTGAGGAAAGGGAAAGCTTTGTTTTGTCCTTTCTACAGTGTTACCAGGTACATCACTGAGCAATCACTAATTTCATTAATGGCAATAAAAAAAATCTCAAAAGTCTTCATGCTTTCATAGGGTCAAAATATAATTTGAAATAAATTTCCATGTATAAAAAAGGACAAAGTGCTAAGGACACAATGCTTCTGCGGTATGTGCCACATTTTGCACTCTGCTGTGATGAGTTCATCAAATTCAGCTTGTCTGAGAAGAAAAACAATGTGTTGAAATCTTAGATCTTTGACTGAAAAATGATTTAATCAGCAAAGAGTTTTCAAAAGCACAGATTGAAGGCTGGTGTCTACTTCCCTTGACTTACTGCTCTTTTTGCTTTTAAAATAGCCTTTGTAGCATTTAAGTGCTTTCTGGATGGGGACAGTTGAGACTTGAAGTCTCTTGGGTACAAATACCTACAAAGCAAAACGTGACTGACCAAAAAGAGCCTCAATTTGAAATGAATGTTATCATTTCTAAATTTTGATGGGCATCATACAGCTTTCCTCCTGGTTGGTGAGGATCTTCATTGGCTATTATACGCTGTGATGCTTGAGTTACTCAGTATTCACTGATAAAAGTGACAAATACTAGTTCTTTGTTACTGGAAATATTACTAATTATATTAACTAGAATGTGGTGGTTTATTTATAAAGATGAAATATATTATTTTTAATGCTAAAATGCTAATTTTGATTTTCATCTTGCAGATGGCAATCTGGTTTGACATATTTGAAAGAGAAAGCTATTTTGTTTTCTTGAGGAAAAAAAAACTATCAAGCAATACCATAATCAATCTGTTATAATTTCCAGAATCGATAGCTCAGCACATGAACTTGTCATCATATCTCACTTACTGCAACTGCAATATACAAGCTGAATGATGTCAGTGTGTCTTCTGAGCCAGAAGGAAATGGTTTTTGTGTAGAAGGATTTGTTCAAATGTAGAATGATATAGTTTTCACCTTGGGAAAAAAAAAGGGAACAAAATACTGTATATATGATCTCTTTTTTTGTTGTTTATGGAAACTTAATTTACCCCTTGTCTTTTGATTCAGGAAATCTTTCATATTTTCTCAAAGTTTTAATGCCTACCTCTCGCAAACAGATGAAAAATTAAAGCAGTATATTTGCAGAACAATTTAATATATATTACAACACCACCAGCAAATCTCAGTGAGACTTGTTTGGGTATGGCAGGTGTATGTTTATGAGCGCATGAAACATTCACATATATGCATAGATCCCATCTCCAGCATCAACAGTTTAATATAACATGATACTCTTTTTTATTGTTTTAAAGAACAAGTAAATACTTTTGTTCTTAAATAATTCTATTCATCTATGTTTCCAGCTAATTCAGAACATCAGTGCAGTGGATCAAGATGATTCAATAGAAGGTCATCATTTTTCCTTCTCCTTGGCTCAGGAGGCCACAAACAATTCACATTTTACTGTCAAAGATAATCAAGGTAGCGTCACTCATATAAGCTCTTTAAGACCTTCCTAATGAGAGTCATGCTTCTAATGGTCCTAGTGTCACCAATTTTATTTAAAAAAAATAATCTATGTAGAAAACGTTGGTACAGAAAGACATGAACACATTATGAGGTACATTTCATAAGAAGAATTCAGTGATCCTAAAGAGTTTAGGAGGTTAGGTTTTTGTTTTGTCCTCCCCCTCCCCCTTTTTTTTTTTAATCAAGTGACCTAAACAGCAAAAGATATTTTTATTTCAAAGGAAAGGAAAAATTTTGCGATCAAAAATACACTAGGATTTCTTAATCATTATTTTCTTAATGTAGGATGTGGAAATATAAACTTTCTTCTTAAAATCACTGGTCTTTCTAAGAAACGAGATTACCAGAAACAGACGATTGCTATTAATAGAAGTGTGTTACTTTTTTACTGAAGGAAAACCAAAATTACAAATATAAATGCATGAGAATGTAATCTAATTTCCTAACACAGTTTAAGTTACGTACACTGATTACTGATCACATCATATGAATGTCTTCTATATGTATTTTAATGCTACTCAGATCTGGGTTAATTGAAATTCTTAAGAGGAATGCTATAGAGTGATAACAACCAAACCCAATCTGAAGTGAAAATTTAAGTTCAATAGCAGATGGAATTTCAGGAAAGAAGACCACCTAAAGGCAGTTTTCTGAGACTGTGAAGAAGAGCTTCTTCAGACTCAGCTAAAGTACACATTATTCCTATTGACTTTGTTAATTATTTCAATGTTTTAACTATGTGAATAAATCAATGAGAATGAGTTTTGGAAAGTTCGAACTATGTTAAATGGCAAACTACTTTTCTCAATATCGCTAAAGTTAGAGTCAATATTTTAGCGTATGTTTCATTTCCCAGCTTTGTTAACCTCTCTCTCACTGCCAGGAGAAAATTTGCTACATTAAGGTTAGATTGTGTACAGTATGGGGAGTTTTTCCCATCTCTTTTGCATCCTGCACAAGCAGAGCTACATATAAGAGTGTAGGTCCAATTCCTCCTGATGGCGGTTGATGGGGAAATATTCTTTTCAAACATGGCAGGGTCAACCATCAGTCTCTCCCTTTCTGCTGCAATTCACAAAAATAGCTGTGTGAATTGGGATAATCTTAGACAAAAGAACTGCAGGATTGGTAGCAGCTGGTTGCATGGAACCATTTTAAGACCCTACTCTGAGCAGATGTTAGATACTGAATGAATATTTTTCTTTCTTATTTTTGAACATTAAAAAAGAGATCCTATTTCCCTTCGAATATATCTGTCAAAATAAATGCAATTATTCAGGATTGACACCAAAATAACACTTATCAGCACCTGGCTTAACTCTCTTACCTTTTCTAATATGTAGTTTTGCACAGTACTGTTGTTTTTAAATAGTACGATCAGATACTAATGGATTTTATTGCCACTGTTAAAAAGCGATAAATGTATATCATTCATATAATTTATCTTCTAGATAACACTGCTGGAATTTTCACAGCAAAAAATGGCTTCAGTAGACAAGAGCAGCTTTCTTTCTACTTGCCAATCTTAATTCTGGATAATGGAACCCCACCACTTACAAGCACAAACACTCTAACTATCACTGTCTGTGACTGTGACATTCAAGTTAACATCTTCTTTTGTCGATATGGAGCTTTCATGTATTCCATGGGTCTGAGTACAGAAGCTTTAGTTGCTGTTTTGGCTTGCGTGCTAATTCTCCTAGGTAAGTACTAGTAAGAAAAATAACTTTTATTTCCTTTTACAGTAGGCCTGAGTATGTAGCAAAGATGTTCCCTAGAGTGGAAGACTGGATGTACTGTTGTATTGAGAAAAATCAGAATAAGGCAAATGTTACATTTCTCTTCTATTTTCTTGACTATATATATATATATTTCAATTTTAAGGAAAAAAAAGAATTTTAACGTAAGACCTCAAAAGTCAGCTTTAGTTGAGTTACGGTCCAACTTATTCCTCCAGCATTAGTAATAATAAAGATTTGGAAAGCCAAAGCCTGTATTAGAATTAGATGAATACGATCACAACTCTACTTATTCTGCCTTACCTATGTCAAACGTAGAGCTAATAAAGTGTACAGCAAAATACTAAAAGAAAAAAGGAAAAAAAAAAAAAAAAAAGGACTCTGATACTATCAGGAAGCAATATCAGAAATCCAGAAATAAACAGGGAGTTGCTCTGTCAATTAGTAAGGTAGGATCTTCACACAGCCATTTCTCCAAATGTTAAACATCCCCTTTTTCCTCTCAGGAGACACCAAATTAGCCTCCATTACATTTAGGAAGTTGTGGATGCGAGACATGCGTTTGAGAGTTATCTAAATATGTAAGAATGGCTTGTGAGGAATGCTTGCACCTCTGCAGAGAGAGGCCCCTGTCAAGCACAGCTGGTGAGTGGCCACCCATAAAACTGATCCCACTGTCCAAGGCTGGCTGCTCCTGCCCTGCAGAGGGCTGCTGCATGGAGTGACAACAGCCAGGGAAACAGTCTTCTCTCCAACAAAGTGTGCGGCAATCCTTGCTCTGATGGGTTTGTTCTCTTTCAGCAGCAGGAAATAGAACCTTTTATTCCTGCAGCACTTGGATACCTAATTACGTGATGACATGGACATATTATAACAGTTGGCATACTGCATTTCTAATCATGTCCCAAGGGTTAAATGTCTGTCCTCAAACTCTGTGCCTATCTGAGTTAGGAGGGTTAAGGTATCTGAGGCCAAGAATGGAAAAGGAGTGATGTAGTTAGTAGGATGCCCAGCTAGATTTATGCTCCCAGCCAAGTGACTGAGTGTAGAGCTTGGTCACTGATGGTGGTCTTTGGCCTTGAGGCCAGACTCAGCAAAGAAACAGTGAAAGACTTCAAACTCCCTGTTGCTTGTGTAATGATATGGCTCATCCATATTATGCCATATAATAGAGCATGTCATAAAATGTCATATCCAAAAAATATCACAACACAAGTGATGGATAATAAGGAAACTAGTTTTTTTTACTGGAAATGAAACTTTTCAAACAAACAACTCCAAAATCAGAAAACACAGATAGAGTCAGGATTTCACTAATTTAAAAGTCATTATAAACTGTAGACCTAGCATAAGTTATATTTTTCCCTACTTTTAGAATTTCTTTGAAACAAAACAAACACGAAAGCTGGAAGGAAATACCTAAAAACACAATGTAACACCAGGAAAGAAAGAAGTAACAGAAATTACAATGCCTTAAGAAACAAAAACTTTCATGGATAATTATTCTCCTAATGTATTTCTTAATGAGAGCAAATGAAATTGTAATATTTTTAAACTTCTATGGCACTGGAAGAATTACAAAGCAGTTTTAAGTAAACACTACTTTTTTCCATGTAGGATATTCAGGTAAAGAACATTCTTTTATCTACCCTCATTATACAATATGACCGCTACTCGTCTATAAATAACAGCATACAACACTAAGCACATCATCACTAAGCACAGGAAAGCTGTGAGGCTTGAAAACGAAGGCTGGCAGCTCTATTCTGATGCTGTATTTTGATCTGTCATTGTAGCAACAATACAAAAAGATAGACAAGTCCAATAATGTTAATGGAATTATTTTGACTTTGTATCAACAAAAAAAAGAAGTTAAACATGTTAAAGTTCACCCTATTCCTCAATCTCTCTGTAAACTTATGGTTTGATTTTTCCTTAGCGTAAGGAATAGAAGCTGGCTCTAATTATTTCCTGTTGCTGCACCTGTGGCCTCCTGACTGACTCTCTTGGTGAGGACTCATTGAAATTTCTCCCAGAATGGAACCTACAGCTCAGTTCCATAAACTCATTTGAATTCCCCAGAAGCAGCACCTTTATCTATTAACTGTGAATCAGCAACTTTATACGGTCTCAGGCTGTCATGATTATGCAACATGCAGGAAACTGCAGAAATACAATGGCCTACAAAAAAATCAGAATGTTTTTTGTTTATTCATAAGAACACACTGAGTAACTAGGACAAGGATTAAAACAACAGAAGAGTAGCTCATAATTATGTCTAGATGACAGTCCTCCTGGACAGACTCTAGCCGTATCCTGACTTCACACCAAAGTCTAGGAATATACTAATTCTCCTACTACCATCTCGTGGTTTCCAACAGAGAAAATCAGAACATATGATTGAAATTTGTGGTTTCTAGACTCACCCACAGTTCCAGAGTCACCTTATCTGAACCTGAGCTTCCCTTGTCCCAGGCAACCTTCAGTACTGGCACTGGAAAGCAGCCTTCCTGACTGATGTCACTGCATTAGACCTGCCAGTCAGCGTGAGCTTACAGGCAAGCTAGTATGCATTTCAAGGTTTTTCTTTGCTTGTGGTGGTACATCTGGGCCTGGTCACTTTGCTTTAAACATGCACAGAATCAGGCACTATCACTGCATTGTCCAGGTCATCAATGGAAATGTTAATCAAGGGCTTTGTGATTACTTGCAGAGAGATCCTTTCTCCAGATGGAATTAACCTTTGTTTTTTTATGCACCTATGTATAAAACAAAAGTCAAAGCAGAAATACAAACACACACATCAATGGCAAACAGGCAGAAACCAGTCTGCCACGCTCTTTGCGGACATACATATTCAAAATGCATTAAATCATATAATGTATTTTGGTGGTTATTTAAAATTAAATAATTAAACATTTTTAATAGAATATGTTTTGTCACTTAGAGTTTGAAATTCTTTCCCCCCACCCCCTCTTTTAGCCAGTACCATCATACTTATTATTAGAAGAGTTCATCATGCAAAGGGTTTAGAGAACTGAAACTACTCTTTCTGTTTTGTAAATGTAGCATAGTATTGTAGAGGTTTTTGTCTCCAGTATTATCAAGCTTCATGTTAATATCTCCCACTTACATGGTACCGTATATAGTAAATACAGGCAAATAAGTATGTCAGTTATCTCATCCCCATAAGTGAGCTAAAATCCTGTGGCAGTTTTGTCATGTTACATTCTGAATAAGGAACTGCAGTTCACAATCAATTTATTTATTAAATAGAACTACAGTTAAATTTAGTTAAAAACTGAAATCATTAATTTCTGTGAATGTCATAGAGTACTTGAAATGGATCACTCAGCTCAGAATGAAATGAGCTACGATTAAAAAGAATAATGCTTCTAAATAAAGCAAAAAACAATAGAACACAGAAGAAGAAGAAAAAAACCAATAGATTTCAAATATGTGAGAAACAAGCTGCTCTGATTCACAGCTCTTGGTGGCAGCTAAGCACTTCTGTGACATCTCCCAAAATTTAGTGAGTCTTCTCATATCCAAACCAATGTAATAGAAATAATGGAACCACACCCTAAATAAACTGTCCAATTGAATTATTTCTTACCAGTTGAGGAGGAGATCTCACTTACTGTCTCTCATTTTTCATCTGCTCTTCCGGAGGCTTTGATTTGAGAGGGAGATAGGGAGAGGGAGATAAAGAGAGAGAAATTAAGAAATTACATTTTGAATGTGGAGTTGATATATTATACGATAAAGCAAAGCAGTTTCAAAAAGCGTAACCTATGTTCCTATCACTGCTTCCAACTCTCATTTATCAAAGAATGGCTCCATTTCATTCATCCATTTTATAAATCCCTTCGTAACCATTTTACCACCGCATACTATGTTCACCTCCATAAAGATTACAGCTCCATAAGTCTGTGAAGAGAGCTTCACTTTGCAGTAGTGCTGATATTGAGACACATTACCACTTTTTGAGTGTTTCCAAGCACATTCAAAGTCTCTGGTTCTGTTTATTTTTTTCTCTGTGTTTTTGTTTTCTTGTCAGTTTTCATTTTGGCCATTGTAGCCATAAGGCAGCAGCAGCAGAAGTCTCTGTTTTCGGAAAAAATGGAAGAATTCAGAGAGAACATTGTCAGGTATGATGATGAAGGAGGTGGAGAGGAGGACACAGAAGCTTTTGATATTTCAGCACTGAGGACCCGCACTGTCATGAGAACGCACAAACCTCGAAAGAACATCACCACAGACATCCACAGCCTCTACAGACAGTCTCTGCAGGTTGGCCCTGACAGTGCAGTGTTCAGGCAATTCATATTAGAAAAGCTTGAAGAAGCCAATACTGATCCTAGTGCTCCTCCGTATGACTCACTTCAAACATACGCTTTTGAGGGGACTGGCTCTTTGGCAGGATCCCTCAGCTCTTTAGGCTCAAACATGTCAGATGTGGATCAAAATTATGAGTATCTTACAGAGTGGGGACCTCACTTTAAACAGCTCGCAAGCATGTATGCTTCCCACAGAAGTGTGAAGGATTAGTTACTTTGTTATGTCTGTATATGTTTTGTTTTGTTTTTTTCATGCTTAGCAACCAAAACCAGCTCTGGATTTTTAAACAGAGATAAGGCCACATTTAAGCACCAAAATAAAGTTTGTTTGTTTGTTTGTTTCCTGAAAGCTCTTGGATATGGAGGTCTTTTGGAAAATCATGCCAGGAGTGTCATGAGCTGAGGGGACGCACACTCCCCATTTTGAAATTCTAGTCATTATTTAGGTGCCTGAACACAAACTGTGCTTCTTTGAAAGTCTAGGCCCAGTTCTGGGGCTGAAAATCTGGATCCTGCAAGTATAGCAGGAGGAGTAGAAGCCATAAATGAGTATTGTAAATATTCTGTCTTTTGTAAGCTTTAAACTGTTTCCAAAGTTAAGACAGACTTTGCTGTTGAATATATTAATTTAACCAAAGTTAATAAAAATGCATATTTGTATAATGCTTCATTATATAAATATACTTGTGTGAAAAAATAGACCCTAAACATTCTAAAACAATTGTCAGAAGGACTGACAGAATTATCTATTTATTTTTCTTAGAATGACAAAACTAAAATAAATGTTTTTTTCCTATCAATGTTTTTGCTATCAATAAAGACCTATTGCCACATCAGCAAGTGTCTTCTACTAAATTATTTTTAAAGGAACTATTGGTAAATGCCTAATAATTAATTTGGCAACTGCAATTAAAAAAAAAGTTCAAGTCAGAATCAAAATTCAACTTAAATACTGTAATCAACTATATTATATATTAATGTATTTGCAACACAATACTATCCACATCTGGGCATTTTTACTTTTATTAAGTTTAAAAATGACTGATTTACCAGTACAGTTTTTTTTTTTATTATTATGGAGTATAAAATTAGCTGCAGTACTCAATTTTATTGTAACAGTATTAAAGATCTTTAAAACGCTAAGCTGGTGGACATAAATCTTTATGTATAACATTAGATAATAAGTAAAATGCTTTAATGTTAACCCAGTTCTTCAGAAAATAATCCCATCATTCTGAAAGACTCAAATCAAACTTCAAAATTAATTTCCCATTGTATTTTTTTCAGAATAGTCCATACTGAGTATAAGGGTGCATAGGAGTATTTGTTTAGTCTTACCTACACTAGTAATCAGTAGCAGTTTTGCATCTGAAGGCCATCAGATATATTCAAATGCACTGTCTGGAAAAAGAGACCTGCCTGCTTTTTATTCACCTCTCTTCCATTCGGTGGTAATTTTATAGCATCTGCATCCTGTAATCAACTGAAATATTTCCACAGGTGAAAACTGGTATCAGGATAAAGAAAATTAAATTTGTTTTTCTCTTTTTTTGATAAGTTATTAGCTAAGCACTACTGAATATAATAGCGAGGGAGGCAAAGCTTATGTAAGAATAAAAAGGCATGTAATATATAAGCGTGTGATGTTTGCTACAATTGTTGTTTATTCAAGAAAAGCAAGAGATGTAGGCTAAGTGCCAGTGTAGAGTTTAAATTCCTGTCAGGTGAAAAGTAAAAAAAAAAACATGGAGGAGTTTGAAAATCAGGAGAGATTTCTAAGAAGAAGTCTGGTAAGGGCGGAAACATTATTCATGGTATTCATAATTGGAAAAATATTGGGGGTCATCTGACTAGATGCAGATGAAGCAGCATGTGCTTCCTAAGGAAAAAGTGGCTCTCTTCAGTCTGATGCTAAGGCTCCAGTATGGATGAGCGGGTACAAAATGGCTCTAAGAGATGTACAACAAAAAAGCTTTGTGTTAATGACTCTAATGCTTGTATTCATTGGCTCTCAAACAGATGTGACAAAATAGTTCCTAGCTGAGACAGTATTGTGCATATTACTCATTTCCTTCACGGAGAGCAATAGAGAAAGAGAGAACAACTATGCATGCACTTGTTTGGAGATGGTAAGAAGTACTTTTTTAAGATTAGGTTTCAAAACCTTGTGTAAGTCCTTCTTCCACAAATGGCCTCAGTGGACTTAAATCCTCAGACCTTCAGTTTGTATTTAGTGTAAAAATGACAGTAGCCTCTGAACCTCTCTCAGTCCAGAGATTTTGTATGTTTAGATGGGGAAATAGCCTCGAATACCTAAATATGCTTGCCCTGCTATTATAATTCTTTCCATTCACTGTAAACAATTAACTTTAATGATAAATAACTCTTGTAACCAACGTATCCCGTTGTTATACCCAGTAACTTCTATATAGAAGAGCCTACTGTGGTTATTAAATAATCTTTAGCTGAGAGGCTTAAGACTGTTTGTACAGCAGGACAAGGAGTATTTTTCTCCAAAGAAATAAGTTATTTCCAGTTGCTGCTGAGCCACATCTTATTGGGTTCCCAATTTTCAAAGTAAAACTTGTTGATTTATTTCCATATGTGAGAAAGGAAAGAAATCACTGAATTGTCCTAGTAAACCCTGAGACAGAAATGTTTACACAACCTTTGATATACTGTACTTAATTTAGCTCAACAATGACTGCAGAAAGGTTTTACAGAAGATTTTATTTATTTGAAGAAAATAAAAAACATTCTGAAAAAGCCAAAATTAAACACATAAGAGATCATAAGACTTGAAATTAATAAAGGGTACATTATAAGCTGAAGTTTCTGTTGATGAGGTCTATTAAACTGTGGAACGGTTTTCCCAAGATAATTCCTCCATTATCTTTATCCTTTAAAATTAGTTATTAGCCGGAATTATCTGTAATATGGATTGAAGAGTACAAGTGTGGTAGTAGATGGTAAATTAATAATCTGCAGTTCACAACCTGCCTGAGGGAATTGTAAGGGAAGCTATCAACTGGTCAAAGGAGGTATGATCTTACATTCTGCTTTTCTTTATGAATACTTTGGAGAGATGTTTCTATTTCTTTTTCTATAACATGGTACAAGAAAGATTAATAACTGGGAAATATATGACCCTATGACATGGTTTTGTTTTCTGGTGCTAGCTCACAGGGGCTTAGAGCATTGGGTTATTAGTTTTAGTATTTAAAATCAAGGAAATGAGGACTACTCATACATTGAAAAGTTGAATTTTAAACATTTATTAAAGTAAAAAAACAAAAGAATGCGATCATTTGATAGCATATCAGACTTTTGGACTACTTTTATGACTGGAAAAGGGGATCTTGTTTATCAATTCACCCAAAATAAAATGGTTTAATTTGATTTTAATTTTGTACATCGGAACATGTTTTTTTTATTATCATTACACTGGGAAGCTCTGCTGGTTGACAGTGAGGATAAACTTAGACTTTAATTCACATAATTTTCCTACTGTTTTTTCTCACAGATACTGTCATTACACTCCTAGCTTTCCTTTCAAAATTTGCATTGGAAATGCGGTTGTTTCAACACTCATTCTTAACTGTATGGGGTAACCCTGTCAGATGAGAGTAAAATATTTCTGAAAAGAGAGTGTGCATTTTATGCTTCAAAGTCAGTTTTAATGTATGCTCTCTGAGGAGTAGAAGTTGAAGATTATGTGATTTTACATACTGGCAAAGAATGCATTTTACCATTGATCCAGAATATGAATGAATAGATATTTTATGAGAAGAAAAAAAAAAAAAAAAGAAAGAAAGAAACTATTTATAAAGTCAGGAAGATTTATCTGTCGAAAAAAAATGGAAATTTATATTTTATAAAGAAAAATATAGTGAATTTGTGCTTATAAAAAAGTTGAAACATTTTACAACAGTAGTCTGCATCCTCTCATTCATTCCGAAAATAAATAAATAAATAAATCACACTAGGCTCTGTATCAGCCCTACGTCTGATACACACAGAGTCCAAAGAACAGCAAAATTTACTTCTAGCGCACATAGGAACAAAACACACACATGCAGAGAAACCACTTATCTGGGAGATCAGTATGAAAACCTCCCACTCACAGCAAATAGACTATAACAATAGTCAGAAATATGCAAAATGTTCAAGAATATATTTGCCAGCAATGGCAATAAGAGTGAATGTTAATAAATAAAATTAAGATCCATCACTGCTTCACAAAAATCTCCAATACCAGAGACCAGGAATGGATATTAATGCTTATTAATACTCTGCAACATTTTAATTCATCACATTAGGTGATGCTTTAATAATATTAAAGTCATATAGATTAAAATAGGGAACATAGAGAATATAGAGAAACGTTGATATTTTAATAGATAAAAGGACACTACAGAAATTTTTTGAATGAAACTTAAAGAGATACGAACCTACCCTTACAAATATGACACACTCTTCTGATGTTATTATGAGCAAATTCATCTCTGTCATCACAAAATCCACAGATTTCACAGATTTTCATCTCATCCAACTTTAGGCATCTAAAAATTAATGCAAATTATTCATCTATTCTGAACTGAATGCTTCGAATCACTGTCTGGAAGTGTCAGCCTCATGCTATTGTCTATAGCAGAACTAGTTTAAAGGCAAAGTCTATAATTTAGATTATTCAAGCTGAGATGAATCTCTTCCTTCCTATCCTGTGTTCCTTTTTTGCTGTGAATCCAGTATGCCGCTCCCTCGCACGTCCTGAAAGTTTGAGGCAGGCTGCCTACTCTCTGGGATTGAAAAATGAGCACAGCATCTTTATGTGACCGGCTTAGACCTGATAGATGTTCTGCAACGAAGGACTCCTGGGGATAAGTCTCCTTCACGTTACTTAGAACTCTAATCCACCGAGGAACCACCTGCAAAGCTTCATCTGCTTTCCTCACCCTGATAGGGATGCAAGGATTTTGCTTTGTCTTCATACCTTCACATATAGCTGCGATCATTTTTAGCAATTGAACAAATATTTTTCTCTGACAATAGTATCTGGCATCCTTGAGTGATTAGTATTGCTTTATTGTATTCTACTAACAGCTAAAGGTTTCACAGTCATCTCCTCATGGAGGTAGCTATTTTACAATCATAAATTTCAGGAAATGCAGAGAAAGAGACATGAAATCAGGGCCAAGAGAGGTCAAATGATTCATGTAGCCGGCGTGCTCCCGATCTGGAAACAAGATGTAGGTCGTGAAATATTCAGTCCACTGCTCAGCTCCCTGGGCTACATGTTTTAGCATGTTTAAATTTGCAGCTCTGCTTGTGCTTCCTTGATGTATCTGAATAGTCATTTTAAATAAAAATGCCATGTTCACCTAAGCTGGTCTGTTCTGGTTTTGTAGGGCACTTTGAACAACTTGCATGTGATCACTGTCAAAACAGATGAAAGTAATGCAACTGCTTGTTTCTTGTTTCTGATGCTTCTCCACACCCCCAGGAACTAAACCAGGAGGGCATGAGTGGCTTTTTTTTTAAGAAGTGCGAGTTAAAGGCAAAGTTCAGGGAGAAGGCTCCATATAAAAGAAGAATCTTCTGCACATGCTGGAGTACACAGCCCACTACCTTATGTAATACTTATCTAGATCCACCTTGACCCTTCTGTCCCTTAAAGGGAACAGAAAGCCCTAGTAAATCTAGGCCTCTTAGAGAATTCCTCTTTATAAGAACCTTGTAAAGCATAGACTATGACTAAGACTGAACAGTTAATTGTAAAGAAGAAAAATAAAATGAGATGAAGGGAGCTGAAGTGTTTATGGCATTCTCCATTGAGTATTACCAATTAGTTCTATCCAAGTTGCAGAGTAGGTTGCTTGAATTCCCTCGAATGTATTACAGACAAAATCTTGTCATAGGAAAGGGAAAGGCACTTGTGTCAAAGGCAAAAAATTATTGTTAGTCTGATTAATGTTATTAGTCCAGTTACAACGATACTAACACAAATTCAATATATATACAGTTTAAACGACATATACATTATTCCTTTTCTCTGGTGCCATATGCCATCAGCATTGCTGTCCCTTTTCCAGGAAGAATATAACACTCATTCTGATTGTGTTTTCCTCCTTGTGCCAAGAGCTACTTGGGGACATTTTTATTTTTGCTAATATGCTCCATATTTTGATCCTTCTTCATTGGTTTGCAAGTCTGAAAGTATTGTATGTGGTGTATCTAACATGTATTGGATATTTCCTTTTTGTCCTGTTACCCCTAAAGCTGGTTTTACCCAGCTTCGAACGTTGCATAGCTTTAATGAGCATACCTTTAATGGTTGCATACCTTTAATGGTAATTAACTGTTGGTGAGCTGGTCATAGCTCTGGAGCCTCCTGTGCCCATACTTTCAAGGCTGCTACTCTCATCCCACGCCAGTACTCCTCTATACTACATTTCTTCCCAGTGGCATAGATAGCTGATTCTACACAAAATAATTACTTGTTAGTGATACCAATTAATAACACACATACAGTTATACCACAACATAATAGAAAGCTAAGTAAAGCTAAAATAGATAAAAAAACAATTATCTAGTGATAAGTTGACTATCATGGTTAAACAAGGTAAAACAGATCTTCAGTCAGACCAAGACAAGTCCAGTCAATAACCAACAGGTCCTAAAGAGTGTGTTGTATCCTAACACCAAGCGTATGGCCAATTAAAAGCAGTATCTTCTCTAGTTACTGGTCTATAAGGCTGTACACTCCCTGGAAGGTTTTCAAAGAGAAATCACAGTCAAGAACTAAGAAGTAACCCCATTCCGCAATTTCAAGTATTTATGGAAGAGTGGTTAACTCTGAAAGGAGAGGTTAACCCTAGTATTTCTGTTGTTCTATGTTAGCAGAGGAAAAGTAACCAAAATTAGAAGTAATATGATTTGTACATATTTGCTAGAAATGTGTTTACATCCCTGGCATTCCATCACAATAGATTTGTAATATGAAACTCCTTCCTATTCACCATGCTTTTGAGCTTGCATATCCTTGCCTCAGCTGAAGAGTACCTCAGTCTTCTGCTGTATGAGTGTCACTATATGTTAAACAGTGCTTCCAATATATAAATAAAAATTGAAGCCTACATTCTTTTCTGGAAGTGATTTGCAATACTTGTTGCAACTGGTTTGTAATGTTTATTTCCCAGTTATAGGAGGGGGATGGAGCACAATATGGACATGATGATTAGACAGCAAATCTTTCAAAATAAGATCTACAAAATGAATGCTTCTGCTACAAACTTGCAAAACTTTTGGAACTCAAAAATGGGTTCAGAAACAGCATTTGTATTATGGATACTCAAAAAATTTCAGAGATAGCAGAAATTCAGAGAAAAAAAATATCTATTTAGTGCTTTCTTGTTTTCCTTTTCTGCTGTCCAGGAAGAGAACATCATAAGGCAAATCATTGTAGGAGAAATCCAAATGCACCAAATTTCTACTTTATCAGACCACTGTGGAGCTCCACTTCATTCCTTGGAGATGGAGCAGGTCCCTGCAGGCTATTAATAATATTGATAACATGGGTGAGGCCTGAGAAGCAGGGTAAATGAAAAAGGAGTACTACCTGACACCAATGAGCCCACCAAGTTTGTACCACCTTTCTAATTTTCTTTTGCAGTGTCCAGGGCATAAGTCAACTGTTCCTGAGGTTTCTTGTAAAATTCACACTTTTTGGCTTTACTCCAGAGAGTGTACTGTACAATCTTAGCCAGCTTTAGCTTTCCAAGTTACTCCAACTTATTGATCTAGTAGGTTCTGAGCATTTTCTTGATGTTCTTTCTGTGCTTCAAACACACACACATCCACCCACTCCAAAAACAAAGAAAAACACATACCCACACTTCCTTTTTGAAGGGCATAAAATACTGTTATAGACAACTAATAACTTTCTAGCTGTTGCTGAGACCTAGGGTATCAGAGATGCCTTCCATCTTCTTCTTTTCTTAGAGCAGCATGTTATAAATATTTTACTAAATCTCTTACACTCATGATAGCATGCTGGAAATCACTCTGTAGCTCTTAAAAGGGACCTAACATTGGTAAAGATGTTTCTACGGTAGAAGATAGTTCCAATATCATTATAGACACTCATAGGAGCCTAGAATCACTGATACAGATGGTCCAACCCAACTCCATATTCCTGTTTTCAATCCTTTGCATTTGAAATCATTTGACAGTTGAAGTCTGACAGTTTCTTTCAAAACGTTCAAGAATGGATGTTCTTTTCTCCACAAATTGTTTAAGGAAAAGATGACCAGATCTATATTATAATTTACACAAGAAGAGAGAAAAACAAACAAAAAAATCCCACTGGTTCTCATAGTGGACTTTATCCACCCAGCATCTGCTGGAAGGAACAACACAACAGGGTACGAGCAAAGCAGGAGATTTCCAGCATGCACAGATGATAACTGTTTGATTCATGTTTTGGATGGGCTGATTACAAGAGGTGCTCTTCTGGACTAGGCACCTATGAATGGCCAAAGATCTGACAACTGCTGTGACCTCTTGAAGGTATTAAGTTCTTGAGACAAGTGAGGAAATTAAATAACAGAATAAAGAGCCTGGATTTCAGAAGAGCAGATTTCAGCTTATTCAGGAAACTGGTAAGCATTATCCCTGGGACACTTTCCTGAAGAAGAAAGGCACCCAGAATACCTAGTTGATAATCAAAGACAACCTCATTAAAGCATAATACGTGCAGGAAATAGAGCAGGCATGAGAAGAAGGACAGGCTGGCTGAATGGGGAACTCAATTTGCTTAAAAGCAAATAAGGAGCATATGAAAAATGGAAGCAGAGTCAGGCTACTCAAGAACAATATAAAAATATTGTTCAAGCACACAAGAATGGAATTAGATCTTCTTTCAGGCCTCTTAGGAAGCTAAGTCTCGCAACAGCTTTGGGAAGAGAAGCTGAAAAATATTAATGTGGTTTGAATGGGTGGACTGCAATGTAAGTGAAAAATCAGCTGAATCAATGGACTCAAAGGACTGAGGTCAGCGCTTCACAGTTCAGCAGACAGCTAGTTGCTAGTCTTTTTGTTTGGGGCTGGTACTGGGCCTAATACTGCTTACCATCTTCATCAAAGCCCTGGACAACAGTCTGAAGGGCACCTTCTGTAGGTAGAAGCACTCAATATGCCAAAGGGTAGGGCTGCCGTTAAGGACTTCAAGGAGCTGGAGGAAAGGTCTAACCAGTAGTTGCAGTTCTGCGACAGACTGAAACTAAGGAGAAGTGCAGCTTTACGGGACTGTTTGTAGGTGTTTTGCTCTGAATAGAGGTTACTTTCACTATGTGCTGAATCCCAACATACCTGAAGTGTCACCTTCTTACTGTTATGTGTCTTAACAGCTGCTATGGAAACCCGTATAGCCTGTCACTTAGAGAAGGATGCAGGTGGGCAGGAAAGAAGGCACTTAACTCAAGACCAAAATTAAATATAAAGTCACAAGTCACCTCTGGCAACAAAAAGTAAAAACAAACGAACAACAACAACAAAACCCTTTACGGATCTAACGAATTCATTCAAAGGTAAGCTTCAGAGATGAATCTGAGATATAAACACCAATTTTCTTTCCCTTGTGATTGTTTTAAAATGACACTATACTTCTGAACCACATGCTCTGAGCTTTCAGAAAATGCATATGTGGCAACAATCTCCTTTTCTGACAGAGCAACTATCTTCTTCAACCCCATCCTCACTTCACGTTTTTAAGTTAATCTTCGAGCAGGGACACATTCCAGGCAACAGTCCAGATCAATCTGATGTTATAGCTTTCAAAAACTTCCTTCTTTTGGTCTCAGATGCCTCTTTTTCACCTTGCATGCTTCCTCATCAAAAAGCTAATTATCCAATTTACAGCACATGTTCTAAATCCCTACCACCTGAAACTGATATACTGAACCCCCAGTGCATATTTAACCCTGCCCTAGGTGACAAAAGAGGAAAAGAATAAATATACCTACTGATTTTCTTAAGAGGTATTTTTCTTTTTACTAAGACAAGATTGTCAGCTGGGAGCAATCAATCATCTGTGCTGTTAGAAACCATATTAGAAGAGTCATTAAAATAATGTCATTGTGGGGATATTTACAGTTTTGTGTTTTTTTTTTTTTTAAAGTATGGAGCTGTTTACTAGTGGTAGTGTTTCATGTGGGTTTGCTTAGACTAATGGAGAGGGAAAAATCACTAAATAGCAACAGTGTTGGAAATTCTGTAGAAGTGCATGGGCTCATTAAGACTATTTGTACTTGTACACTTTAACACAGTCATTTTATAGATTGGAATGCTACAGAAACAATTCTGAAAGCCCTATCCTTTTATTATAT